CACCATTAATGGGCCTCGAGTTGCCTTGAGAAGTCTATGCACTTGGTTAAAAATTCAATGACAGGTCAAAAATCACACACACACTTTGCTTTTCTTCCAGAGGGAAGTGAGAAACAAATATTTAGAGCAAAAATATAATCAAGTGGTTGTATATCTTAATTTTTGTTATTATTTTGACATCCTGTCACTCTAGCTGACATCATGCTTATAGAGTGTTTACCCCTAGTCTACCTTAAGGGGATAGGCCTTTATCAAAAAGTAACAACAGATATCTGGGTTTTGCCTCTGACCTCTGCAGCTGACCTCTGCAGCACACAACCCTCTGCCACTTGCAGAAGATGCCTGTTAACAAGCCGGGGATTTTCCAGCTTCAGCCACGCACACTGCATAAACCACAGTGCTCCTGCAATCGCTGTACAACCATGGCAGAAGAACTTAGAACCATCCACTTACCACTGCACAAGTGCCTGCCTACTCGTGTAAAGGAACAAAGCCCCTACGCTAGATAGGAGGAAAATATTCCACTGAACAATACACAGATATCAAGTTGCCAAAGAAATGCAAGCTGAGTATCTGCTCATCTGCGACCCACATACATGTTCCACAGAATCGCTTCCAAAGCTTACATAATAATCAAAAGGAAAACAAGGTCCCAGGAAATGGGAAAGCTATGATCCTCCTAATCCCAACAGATACCAGTATAACTTTAACATATACCCCAAGGTATTTTCATTACTCCAATTTGCTCCAACCTTCAGCCTGGTGTAATGAATGAATGCAGGGGAGCAATGTACTCACAGCACCGCCATGTTTCACACATTCAAATATTTGCTACAGTGGCAGCTAAACTGATCCAAGCCTATCTTGCACAATGAGATGCTGTCAGCTTGAGTCATTCTACCTCCTAAAAAAGGATGTCTGATTATATGATTCAGGTGCGCCAGTAATGCAGTTGAAATTTGTGCCAAAAATACTAAGCTGAGATCAACAAGTTTGTAGAGGAGGGAGAAAGGTTGTTTTCTGCTGCTCCAGAGAAGCGGACACGGAGCAATGGATCCAAACTACAAGAAAGAAGATTCCACCTAAACATTAGGAAGAACTTCCTGACAGTAAGAGCTGTTCGACAGTGGAATTTGCTGCCAAGGAGTGTGGTGGAGTCTCCTTCTTTGGAGGTCTTTAAGCAGAGGCTTGACAACCATATGTCAGGAGTGCTCTGATGGTGTTTCCTGCTTGGCAGGGGGTTGGACTCGATGGCCCTTGTGGTCTCTTCCAACTCTATGATTCTATGATTCTAATAGAGCTTCTGATTCTCATTAATGTATTCTCAAATAAGCTTCAGCATAAAATTGGACCAAGAAAAGGTCAGAACCCTGGACAAATCCATCCTGTCTCATAGCTGACAGAATGTCTACCAGCTCCTTTTGCTGGAAAAGGTTCTTGGCAGCTGTTCACCCAAATCTGATAAATGGTAAGAGAGCAAAATGCTGTGTTTTGGACTCAAGCTACAGCATTTGACTCAGCGTACCCAGCTTTTTAATGTATTTAACGGAAGCTGGGAGTAAAATAAGGTCTCTCTGAAAGCAAAAGTATCTGTAAATAAATAAATAAATCAGCAAACTCACTGTGGGAGTTTTGTTTTCTTTGGAGTTTGTGCCCCATTCCAAAACCCACCCACACTTAGTCTGAGTCAACAATAAGTTCAGCATTTTATACAGAGAGAGAGTGTGTGTGTTCTTTTTGTTTGTTGAATTCAGAAGCTCGTGGCATGGTCCTTATGAAACTGCAAAATCAAATGAGGGGATTTTATGTTGGCACTTATGCTTGGGTCGGGATGGCATGGGGATGAGGGACCAACTCCCTTCTCTCGCGGGGGCCCAATTAGTGCCATTGCCTTCCGTTAAGGGTGTAATCCTTGACGCCTCTCTTTCCATGGAGGCGCAAGTTACAGCAACAGCCATTTTTCCACCTTCGCCGCATCAAGCAGTTGGTCCCTTACCTTTCCCGCCCCGACCTGGCCACAGTGATCCATGCGATGGTCATCTCCAGGCTTGACTACTGTAATTCACTCCACGCGGGGCTGCCCTTGAAGCTGTCCCAGAAACTCCAGCGGGTGCAGAATGCTGCAGCGAGGCTCCTCACGGGGTCTCTGCCATGGGAGCATATTCACCCAGTGCTTTTCAAACTGCACTGGCTCCCGGTGGAGTACAGGGTCAGATTTAAGGTGCTGCTTTTGACCTTTAAAGCCCTTCACAGCCTAGGACCCTCGTACCTACGAGACCGCCTCTCCCGGTATGCCCCACGGAGAGCCTCAAGTCCATAAATAGCAACACCCTAGTGGTCCCGGGCCCTAAGGAAGTTAGATTGGCTTCAACCAGAGCCAGGGCCTTTTCGACTCTGGCTCCGGCCTGGTGGAACGCTCTGTCTCATGAGACCAGGGCCCTGCAGGATCTGATTTCTTTCCGCAGGGCCTGTAAGACAGAGTTGTTCCGCCTGGCCTTTGGCTTGGAGCCAATTTGATTCCCTCCCTCTCTTTCTTTTTTTCTTTCCTTCTCCTCCTGCGTTGAGGCTACATTTTATTTTAATGTTGTAATATTTTAATGTTGTATTTTAATGTTGTTTTTAAGTTGTAATCATTTAACTTGTTTTTATTATTGCTTGTAAGCCGCTCTGAGCCCGGCCTTGGCTGGGGAGGGCGGGGTATAAATAAAAAATCATTATTATTATTATTATTATTATTATTATTACAAACATACACTAAATAGCACCTCAGGCAGAAGCCTAGGCTAGACATTCTTGTGCCTTACTTATGGGCAGGCACTTTTTGATGTGGCAGAATATTTAGGATGCAATCCTAGGTACACTTGTCTGATAGCATGTCCCACTAAACACAGGGGGACTGACTTCTGAGTAAGCATGCACAGGATTGAAGGGTTCAATATGCAATCCCCCACCTGCATCCTCACCTGATACATTCTTAGAAGGAATCTATTAAGTTCTTTCTCTCTCTTTGGTAGCATAGAGATCAGAGCTTTCTAATAAGGAACATGTTCCAGATCAATCAGACCTCCATAGAATATTTTTACACTGCACGGTGATGGCGCTTAGACCATCTCAAAAAAGATACCTACCTTTGGGTAGATTTGCCAGCCAGTGAATACCTCGGCAGGTTTTCTACAGTCTAAAAGAAAGAGAGGGAACCTTAATTAAAGTTAGAAACTGAAAATACTCATTTGGTCCAGTTTTCAGACATGCTGTGCCTGCATTTAAGTGATAAAGGCAAAACGTAGCAAAGACTATACCTGGGGGGTGGGGCAGTGTTATACTGCGCTCTATATGACACTGACCAAACGAATATAATTTCATAAAACAGAGGTAAATTGTAATACCAGACAAGAAACAATGCCCCTCTACATCTTTAAAAGGTACAGTCCAGAAGGCCTTTTTACTCAATGCTAACAGATAAGCAGAATAATCATGCCAAAGTAATATAGTACTTGTGGTATATTGGATATGGCAAGGACTACAGTCCTGCTCCTCCCTAGAGCATTTCTGTTCTCTCAACCATGAAAAACTGCTTTACAATAAGCCCACAACCTATGTGCATTTAACTTGTGCACATTCAGCGGGGCTTGGCGTCCAGGAAAAAAAGTTGCAGGCTTACTTACTGAAAAATGTAAGTTGCAGGCTTACTGTACAAAATCCTATGCATTGTTGTAGAGCCCACATAATATGACTTTTAGTTCAGAAGGAAACCTTGCAAGCAGGAAAAAAAATTCTGTAGAAATGTGAAAAGTCCTTTTAACTTTCAGCAACCTAACAACCACAGATGCCTCAGAAATTTCAATAATTACGTTGACTCAGTCAGTCTAAAGAAACTGACACCCAAGGCAAAACTAAGATGAACCTTGCTGTAATAAAACATAGTCCATGCCAATACGTCTGACTCAAAAAACTATTAGACTCTTCAAATATGCTGGCTTTTTAAAAAGCAAATGTATTTGGGCTAATTGAATTACAGGTGGTTTTTTGAAAGACACACCCTGTTAAATTCTTGCATTTTGGTTTTTGTTGTTGTTCCTCTTCCCTTGCATCTTTTTGTGAATCCTGCAGAACATTTTGGCCAAACAGTAAAATGAGCAGGAGTCATTTTCTGTATAAACACACCTACTGTCTCTACTTGCCAGCGTCAGTCTCCCATTCTTTGTTTTGTAACCATGTTTGCCTTGGGGGGATGCTTTGTTAAAAAGTAATTTGTGTTAGGTTCACAGGTATAGCTTGCTCTGCAGGCACTCTAAAAGGGCTAAGCTGGACATGACTTTAATTGTGTGCTTAAAACCTGTAGTTGGGATTCTCTGTGTCTTTTTTGAGAGAGAGAGAGAGAGAGAGAGAGAGAGAGAAGGAGAGAAAGAGAGAGCAAGAATCAGCTGCAGTACGTACAACCCAAATTAGGATCACAACACAAGGGATACTTTCCTCATGGTATTTCTTAAGATGGTATTTCCACATTTCGAAACTCATTTTCAAAGTTGACCTGTTCTGTGGTCCAACTATACAGTACCTTGCCCTGCAACATTTCACAGATGAAAATAGGGGCACATGTGCATGAGGCTAGGGGTGGGGTTTGGGAACCCAATCACATTGTTTCTTGTGACATCCAAACTGGGAAACTGCAGCTTAAGTGCTGTCTAGAAACCAGGATGACATATCAGGAGTTGTGGCCAGCTCTCCAAACGCTGTTTCCCACAGGAAACTATGGTTCAAGAGTCTAGGAAGTCTCCTCTAATTGGGTACCGTATTTTTCGCTCTATAGGGCGCACCAAGTTTTTTTTGGGGGGGGAATAAAGAAATACAATTTTATCCCCCCCCCCCCGAGCCCCAAAGAGCAAAGAAGCCATGACAGCGAGCGGGATGGATCCCGCTCGCTGTCTTGGCTTCGTTTTTAGCCTCGGGTCTGGGGAAGCTCCGCAGGCTTGCGGATAGCTGCCCTAAGCCCGGGGTACGCAGTGCCGCGCTCCCCAGGCTTCAGGTTGCAAGCACCTATCCGCAAGCCTACGGAGCCCGACGGGAACTCCCGCCGGGCTCCGCAGGCTTGCAGATAGCTGCCCTAAGCCCGGCGTGCAGTGCCCTGCTTCGGGCTGCAAGCACCTATCCTCAAGCCTTCGGAGCCCGGCGGGAGTTCCCGCCAGGCTCCGCAGGCTTGCCGATAGCTTCCTGAAGCCTTCATTCGCTCCATAGGATGCACACACATTTCCCCTTCATTTTTGGAGGGGAAAAAGTGCACCCTATAGAGTGAAAAATACAGTATATATACCACTTTTTATATATACCACTTTTTCAGTACTTGATACCTGGTGTCTGTACTGATTTTATATAGATATATATATAGATAGATAGATAGATAGATAGATAGATATAGCTTCAGCTGCTATATAAATGTAAACTGTGGAGAGGGAATTAGGGGAAGGACGGGAGAGGCAATCCCCAAAACCAGGAAGTTCAGAGAATAGGGCCACCCCACTCCCAATACTAGGCTCCAAAAAGGTTGAAATGAGACGTTTGAGAAGTACTCCCAACATACCCTGTTCAAGGTTGCTCAGCACTTGATAAATCGAAAGGTCTTGAAGATCAAACCTTCATGGAAATGCACTCCTATAGAACTTGAAGTTTTGGTCTCATTCAGCATAAAGTAGAATATGCATTCTAAGAAAACCTGGCAGCCTATAATCTCAAGTAACATTTTAAAGTAGAAAATGATCTTATTCTTATGAAACTCATATGTAGTTCTGCTGCTTAGAATCAGAGGTAATAGCAGCTATATGTACAAACTTTAGTTTATGCTTACATATATTTTTTTAATAACAAAGGTTTGTGCAAAACTTCCAGAAGGAGCAATTGAAGATGTGTTCTAAGTCAACTCCATTTACAGATGAAATCTGCTTTTTCTCCTTTCTTAATGAGCAACTTCTAAAGATGCCCAGGTTCTTCTGTTAAAACTGAAGATGAGCAAGGCTATAACTACAAGCCTCTTCATACAGATATGGTATTAATCAATGTTTTATTAGGCTGCAAGAGCTAACACAAGCAGAAGTACTTAGTGAGGAGTTACACAACTCTCCAAAATCCTGTTCTCTTTCTCCAAATTAATTCCTAAGGACCAGACCATCTGATACATTTAATTCACTGCAGAATACAGGTAGGTCTATGAATTTACCCTATGTAAGAGTCCAGACTAGGCTTGTCATTCTCCAGTCTCAATGGAAACTGCAACAGACAATCTCACTGTTTTATGCTTCAGCTTAATCAAGCTACAGTCGCCTTCTGCTACCTTCTGTACTTGTTAATAACCTTCTTACTTTTGCTATGGGAGCGTCTACTCGCATATGAATCTCCTTGCTCCCTTAAATCATTGCAGATTCTATCTCTGTCTAAAACCCTAAGAGACCAACTGCCAATCAGTGTAGGCAATACTGTGCTAGTTTCAGCCAATGGTCTGACTTGGTATAGGGCAGCTTCAACAATGGTCAAGGATGAAGGGGGCTGTGGTCCAAAGACATCTCAAGGGCACCAAATTGCAGTTAGACAGACAGACACAGCCAAGATACTTTGGCTGCACAAAGAGCAAAACTGCCAGAAGTAAACTGAAGTACCAAAGGACTCCAAAAGATGTCATTTTGATGGCTGCAGTTCAAGTCCCAGTTAGGGCACAATTATCTTGGCCAACTTACTTAGGTATATGGCTTTTAAAAAGCAAAACAAAAAAGCAAACCACCAGAGCAACTACCAAGCATTTGTATGACCCAGTTTTCAGTGTTCCCCATCCAAACGATATCTCTGCATCCTTCCTGAATCTCCCTGTAAGATATTTATCAGGTATTTATCAGTAGTGTTTAAGTTTCTTAACTGAGCTATTGATTTATTTATTATCTGGTCACAATGTTTCCATGATTGAATCCAAAGAGGCTGATGCAATACACATTACAGTGGTACCTCGGGTTACATACGCTTCAGGTTACATATGCTTCAGGTTACAGACTCCACTAACCCAGAAATATTACCTCGGGTTAAGAACTGTGCTTCAGGATGAGAACAGAAATCGTGCTCTGGCGGTGCGGCAGCAGCGAGAGGCCCCATTAGCTAAAGTGGTGCTTCAGGTTAAGAACAGTTTCAGGTTAAGAACGAATTAAGTATGTAACCAGAGGTACCACTATATACTTGAAGAAAGCCACAGGAATAGTTCTTGGAAAGAATCACTCTGGCATCTTAAAAACAGCAACAGCAGTCCAGCAGAGCTGATCCATGTACACAGAAGGGCTTCCTTGTTGCTGACTACAGGGAGGGAAAGATACTAGTGTCCTCAAATTATATATTGTGGAAAATTGCCCTGAAAAATCCAACACAGCCATACTTAATTTCAAAAGGAGAAACTTCTCAGACATCAGAGGATTAGTGAAGAGGCAGCTAAAGGGTCAAATCTCTTCAGGAAGCTGGGGGAATATTTTATGAAGCTGTAATAGGGGATCAAATAAAATGCATACCGCAGATTATAAAAGGCACAAGCAAGTCCAAACGGTTATCATTGTGGTTAAAAAGCAGAGACAATGAAACTATGGAAGGCAAGAAGAAAAATGGAAGTCTTTATAAAATGAAGAAAATGGGAGAAGGGACTGACAATCTAACATCTAAAATAAAGAGTTTGTGTCAATCCACTCAACATGTAAAATTGTGTCAGAAGATAGCCATGTAACTGACTAAAAAAATGATCAGAAAAAGCAGGGGTGGGAACAGAAAGGCAGCATTAAAAATGTGTATGTAAGTCTAAAACAGAAACAGGAGATGTTGACAAAAAATATAGAAGCCCTCATATATTTGATGAAAGATTGGAATTCCTTCACCAGGCAAATCATTCAATCAGATCCCAACCTTGCAAAGAGGTGCAAGGATGGCAGGGTGGTGTGACGAGCCAAATGCACTCCCCCCCCCAATGTGTCTGGGGCCATTACCCCGACAGCCCCACCCCCATGCTACACCCCTGGTGTGGGCCCCCTTCCAGGATTAGTGCTCCTTTGGATAATTTGAAGATACGGTGGAGACTTATAGCTTTAAGAAATGTTATTTATTCACATATCTACACCTTCAGTCTGCATGGAGGAAGTCCAGATCTCACAGCATGGTCGTTTCAAGAGAGGCTGGTTACCCAACAGCTGTGCAGACATGGAGGCCAAGGCATCTCTCCCAGCCAGCCTTCAGCCATCCTGCCCAAGATGGCTCGCTCACTGTTCTCCCCCCTTCTACTTCCCAGAACACTTTTTTTGTTTGCTTTATTATGAACCTCCCCGTGATTTTTTGCTGAAGGGTCGTATTAAACAAACAAACAAATAAAAAAATTTTTTAAAATAGATTAAGAAACTAATGTAAAACTAATGTATTGGATAATCATAGAATTTGGCCTGATTACTGTTGCAATGTAGTACCATAGGAATGTCACCATCTCTCAGTCTACCATTTTCAAAATGTAACTGTGGCTTACCTCACAAGATGGTGAAGGGGATAAGGCAGTTATCCTGTACTCAATGTACTTAGGATTAAGACACTAGGGCTTACTACTGAGTAGATATGTGTAGGATTGATCAGTAATAGGAGAATAGATTGATATTCATTACTCTTTTACCCTTGGGGGAGCCATTGCTTGGTGAGAGAATCATAGAATTTCAGAGCTGGAAGGGACAATGTCATCTAGTCCAAGCCCCTGCAATGCAGGAAACATTTTGCCCAACGTGGGACTTGAACCCACAACCCTGAAGTTAAGAGCCTCGTGCTCTACCACCTGAGCTATCTCATCTCATACTTCACATACTGAGGTATCAGGTTAAGTCTCAAGGCTCTTGAGTTTAAAAGGATATTGGGGAGTCCAGGAAATACCTCACTATGTCCCAGACTTCATAAGTGACTACCAATCAGAGTAGACAGTACTGGGCCAAATGGCCGACAATTCAGTCATAAAATGGTGCTTAGGCAGGACTTTTTTTCCAACCGGAACTCAGTTCCAAGAAAACAGGGAAAGTGTTCATGGTGAGTTCCAGCACCTCTTTTTCTTGAAAAATAGCACTGTGCTTAGGGACACCCATAGTCCATTGCAATTGCCTATTCAAACCTCACTCCCTCAACAGTAAGGAAGAATAAGACCTCAGAATGATCATTAAGGTTAAAGTTATTTAGGTCCTTTTCATCTTTTTCTTAAACTAGAAATCCACTTAAATTTAGGGGTCACGATATACTTAAAACACACAAAAATACACTCAGGTTTAATGTAATGCTTTCCATTTGTAAGACAGACATAAAATAACCTACTTTAAGTATATTCCCCCCATGGGGGTGAGAAGGTAACAAGCATAGGAATGAGTGTGTATAACTGCAAAATTTACTATACAGTGGAATAACAGTATAATTGCAGTTAAGTACAAGAAGAGTATTGATTGAAGAAACAGTGAAGTCCAGTGAAACCAAATACTGCTGACCCCTGCAGGGCATCAAGAAGAGGAAACTACATGAGAAGAGGAAATGTGCAGGAATTATTCAGAATTAATGTCAAAGGGCCCAATGTTTCTAGCAGAGCTATGTTGTTGTTTAGTCGTTTAGTCGTGTCCGACTCTTCGTGACCCCATGGACCAGAGCACGCCAGGCACTTCTGTCTTCCACTGCCTCCCGCAGTTTGGTCAGACTCATGTTTGTAGCTTCAAGAACACTGTCCAACCATCTCGTCCTCTGTCGTCCCCTTCTCCTTGTGCCCTCAATCTTTCCCAACATCAGGGTCTTTTCCAGGGAGTCTTCTCTTCTCATGAGGTGGCCAAAGTATTGGAGCCTCAGCTTCACAATCTGTCCTTCCAGTGAGACCCAGGGCTGATTTCCTTAAGAATGGATACGTTTGATCTTCTTGCAGTCCATGGGACTCTCAAGAGTCTCCTCCAGCACCATAATTCAAAAGCATCAATTCTTCGGCGATCAGCCTTCTTTATGGTCCAGATCTCACTTCCATACATCACTACTGGGAAAACCATAGCTTTTACTATACGGACCTTTGTTGGCAAGGGGATGTCTCTACTTTTTAAGATGCTGTCTAGGTTTGTCATTGCTTTCCTCCCAAGAAGCAGGCGTCTCTTAATTTTGTGGCTGCTGACACCATCTGCAGTGATCATGGAGCCCAAGAAAGTAAAATCTCTCACTGCCTCCATTTCTTCCCCTTCTATTTGCCAGAAGGTGATGGGACCAGTGGCCATGATCTTCGTTTTTTTGATGTTGAGCTTCAGACCATATTTCAGACCATATTCTCCTCTTTCACCCTCAATAAAAGGTTATTTAATTCCTCCTCACTTTCTGCCATCAAGGTTGTGTCATCTGCATATCTGAGGTTGTTGATATTTCTTCCAGCAATCTTAATTCCGGCTAGGGATTCATCCAGCCCAGCCTTTCGCATGATGAATTCTGCATATAAGTTAAATAAGCAGGAGACAATATACAGCCTTGTCGTACTCCTTTCCCAATTTTGAACCAATCAGTTGTTCCATATCCAGTTCTAACTGTAGCTTCTTGTCCCACATAGAGATTTCTCAGGAGACAGATGAGGTGATCAGGCACTCCCATTTCTTTAAGAACTTGCCATAGTTTGCTGTGGTCGACACAGTCAAAGGCTTTTGCATAGTCAATGAAGCAAAAGTAGATGTCTTTCTGGAACTCTCTAGCTTTCTCCATAATCCAGCGTATGTTTGCAATTTGGTCTCTGGTTCCTCTGCCTCTTCTAAATCCAGCTTGCACTTCTGGGAGTTCTCGGTCCACATACTGCTTGAGCCTTCCTTGTAGAATTTTAAGCATAGCCTTGCTAGTGTGTGAAATGAGTGCAATTGTGCGGTAGTTGGAGCATTCTTTAGCACTGCCCTTCTTTGGGATTGGGATGTAGACTGATCTTCTCCAATCCTCTGGCCACTGCTGAGTTTTCCAAACTTGCTGGCATATTGAGTGTAGCACCTTAACAGCATCATCTTTTAAAATTTTAAATAGTTCAGCTGGAATACCATCACTTCCACTGGCCTTGTTATTTGCAATGCTTTCTAAGGCCCATTTGACTTCACTCTCCAGGATGTCTGGCTCAAGGTCAGCAACCCCACTACCTGGGGTGTACGAGACATCCATATCTTTCTGGTATAATTCCTCTGTGTATTCTTGCCACCTCTTCTTGATGCCTTCTGCTTCTGTTAGGTCCTTACCACTTTTGTCCTTTATTACGGTAATCTTTGAACGAAATGTTCCTTTCATATCTCCAATTTTCTTGAACAGATCTCTGGTTCTTCCCATTCTGTTGTTTTCCTCTATTTCTTTGCATTGCTCGTTTAAGAAGGCCTTATTATCTCTCCTTGCTATTTTTTGGAAATCTGCATTCAATTTCCTGTGTCTTTCTCTATCTCCCTCGCATTTTGCTTGCCTTCTCTCCTCCGCTATTTGTAAGGCCTCATTGGACAGCCACTTTGCTTTCTTGCATTTCCTTTTCATTGGGATGGTTTTCGTTGCTGCCTCCTGTATAATGTTGCGAGCCTCCATCCATAGTTCTTCAGGCACTCTGTCCAGCAAATCTAAATCCTTAAACCTGTTCCTCACTTCCACTGTGTATTCATAAGGGATTTGATTTAGATTGTGGTTTTTCCTACTTTCTTCAGTTTAAGCTTGAATTTTGCTATAAGAAGCTGATGATCCGAGCCACAGTCAGCTCCAGGTCTTGTTTTTGCTGACTGTATTGAGCTTCTCCATCTTTGGCTGCAGAGAATATAATCAATCTGATTTCGATGCTGCCCATCTGGTGATGTCCACGTGTAGAGTCGTCTCTTGTGTTGTTGGAAAAGCGTGTTTGTGATGACCAGTTTGTTCTCTTGACAGAACTCTATTAGCCTTTGCCCTGCTTCATTTTGCTCTCCAAGGCCAAACTTGCCAGTTGTTCCTTTTATCTCTTGATTCCCTACTTTAGCATTCCAATCCCCTATAATGAGAAGAACATCCTTCTTTGGTGTCACTTCTATAAGGTGTTGTAAGTCTTCATAGAATTGGTCAATTTCAGTTTCTTCAGCACCAGTAGTTGGTGCATAAACTTGAATTACTGTGATGTTAAAAGGTCTGCCTTGGATTCGTATCGAGATCATTCTATCATTTTTGAGATTGCATCCCAGTACTGCTTTCGCCACTCTTTTGTTGACTATGAGGGCCACTCCATTTCTTTTGCGGGTTTCTTGCCCACAGTAGTAGATATGATGGTCATCCGAACTGAATTCACCCATTCCCATCCATTTTAGTTCACTGATGCCCAGGATGTCAATATTTATTCTTGCCATCTCATTTTTGACCACATCCAACTTACCCAGGTTCATGGTTCTTACATTCCAGGTTCCTATGCATTATTTTTCTTTACAGCATTGGACTTTCCTTTCGCTTCCAGGCATATCCGCAACTGAACGTCCTTTCGGCTTTAGCCCAGTCATCAGCTCTGGATCTACTTGTACTTGTCCTCCGCTCTTCCCCAGTAGCATGTTGGACGCCTTCCGACCTGAGGGGCTCATCTTCCAGCGTCATAACTTTTATATGCCTGTTGTCTTTGTCCATGGAGTTTTCTTGGCAGGGATACTGGAGTGGCTTGCTGGTTCCTCCTCCAGGTGGATCACGTTTGGTCAAAACTCTCCACTATGACCTGTTCATCTTGGGTGCCCTGCTCGGCATAGTTCATAGCTTCTCTGAGTTCTTCAAGCCCCTTCGCCACGGCAAGGCAGTGATCCATGAAGGGGGAGCAGAGCTATATATACTATGATTTCTTTGACATTTAACTCCTTCTCTCCTATTTTACTCATTGGTATTGAAAGGTGGCATAAAAAATGAGGGCTGGTGAGAGAAGCTTTACTGCTTTCTAAGAATTGTAGTGCAGTCTCTTTGCAGATACTCGGAAGTACTATGGCTACCAGCCACCTCTATAAGGAAGGGGTGTGGAACCTTTGGCTTTCCAGATGTTGCTGACCTACAACCCAATCAGCCTTGACCATTGGCCACATTGGCTGGGGCTGATGGGAGATGTAGCTCAGCAACATCCAGAGGGCCAAAGCTTCCCCACCCCATCTCTAAGGGATAGAGGTAGCAAAAAGATTCAGGAAGTACTAGCTAAACAGGAGATTAAGAAAGAGCTAGAGATCTCACTGCTAGACAAACCTCAAGGAGACAAAACAATCTGGCCAGGGCATTGGGACACCTGAGGCAAACAACAAAATGGTGCCCCACCCCATCCTGCAAGGGAAGAATGGGTGAGTGAAGATCTATATCAGGAATGGGGAGGGGGAGATAAAGGGGGAAAAGAGGGAGGACACCAGGAACACTTCCTATTTTCCAAGAGGCTGCTGAGAGGCAGCATTTGGGGTGGGGGCCGCCAAGGAGACGGCAGATTTGGCCTCCAAGGAGCACTCTGCAGCAGTTGCTGCCATTGCAGTGGCAGCAACATCAGGCAATGCATTCTTTGGAGGCTGCATACGCTGACCCTATGGATTCTGCCGCCTGAAACAATCACCCAACCTTGTCTCATGGGTGGGCCAACCCTGAATCTGGCAACAAAACTTGACATCCTGGATCATTCACATCTTGCCGCTCCACAACTTCTAAACAGGGATACAGCTGATACACCCCAAATGCTGCCTCTCAGCAGCCTCTTGGAAAATGGAGTATAAATTTCAAATGAACTCTTTTACATTTTATGAAATTCCCATTGACTTGAACAAGGAAAATGATGCTACTGGAAGGGTAACACTGCTACACTGTCTG